TTCATCAATCGTTTTAGTCTTAGTTTTAGTTTTCGTTTACGAAAATAACCTTGCTCCACACATGTAAATGATAACAGTTCCTGCTACTGTGAACGGAGCCGCTGTGTGACGCACGTACTTAACCTACATGCATGTAAATAATTAAAGCGCATATACTGTATTAGAAGGGCATTGCATATAATTAATTAAATCGTAGCATTTGTGAATTCACAATTATACTTAATTATGATTTTTAAATGGGTTTAATATATCATGCAGCCTTGGGAAACAGTCTAATAATGTGTTTTATGGATTCTCGTCCGTGAAATGCGCCACTTCCGGTATTTTGCCGGTTAGTCGACGCGAGCAAAATGAAGTCGAGGATTTTTAAAAATCGAATAGTCAAATAAAATCAACGAATTGCGACAGCCCTAGACGAGTTGCTTGCAATAAGACAAAAAACGGCCGGTTGCCGATCTAGTACACATATTATACGTCCTCCTGCAGTAACCTGAGGTTAAGTCATGTGCAAAAACACAATGATTATAGTCGAATCAACTCTTGTGAGATTTGAACCTACAACCTTTCCAGCCCAAATCTTTAACCACTAGGCTACAAGTTTTTCCAGATTGAGGCAAGGCTCAGTAGGGCTCCCTAGCTCTTTGGGAGACACACAAACACACAGGGTTTGGTCGGTCACCTTCGCAGCCTCCAGCATTTCCTGCGTCTCTTCTTGAGAGTGACTGATGAACACGTCTCCGATCTGATACGGGATCAGCAGTGCATCGTCCTCACACATCATGAGGTCGTCACTGGCATCCTCCAGATTCTGTAAGGATTTCTGCATGAAAAGGGTTTGATCAGCATCCGCCTGAACAAAATGCAAACTAGAATGCATTTCAAACCATCCATTTACCTTTTTGGCCTCGATTTCATCTTTAAGTTCAGACATCCGATTTGTATTCCTGGCAAACTTGTTGATCTTTTGCTGGTCCTCAAATGTTACATTGACATCTTCAGCTGCCTGTCATGATTCAAGCAAGTTTTTTTATTAAAATAATGCATTTATTCCAATATAAATGAATCCTTCTGCTCTCTATATTAAAATGCACATTAGAAGTTAAAAATAAGTATATTTTTGAGTAAAGGAAACTATAAACTCAATAAATAATGTCCTGCAATAACTTCATTCGTATACTGTGTCTGTAGACATACACAGGGTTTTGAAATATTACGTTAGAGCAAATAAACACAGAATTATGTTTAAATGTTATGATATAAAAATAACAAATAAAAAAGTAATTTTCTTTGATGCACTGAATGTTGTAGTTTGAATGTTAAAATCTGCAGTTGGTTTGATTTACAATTATTTTATTGGTATAGAACACTTGAAGCTGAATAATATTATATATATAATTACTAAAAATACAGCTAACTAACGCAATAAAAACATAACATAATAAAAAAAACAAGATTTTTGAACATTTTTAAAAGGAGTTCTGTTTTTGCAAATAAACTCTTCATATATAAAATAAGCATAAAGCTGTAATTTTATGAAATAAGCACACAGTGACGCTAGCAGATATTTACTTGCACATAAGCAGAAGGAAAATGATTTACAGCTGAAAGATGAAATTGTATGTAAATAAAAATTAAAAGTAAATGCCAGAAAGTCATGACGATCATCACAATAATGTGACGTTAGCCATTTAACGTTAGCTGCTCTCACAACCAGTGAAAACAAACACTCTCCAGAGTCACTCTGCTCTCTCAATCCTTCAGTTTTCGCTGTTTCAGAGCCACTAGCACGTTACTAAACAAGGGCAAAAATACGAAGGGAATCTAGACAGAAAGCCGTTTATTCGAACACATACCACTCCTTTCTTCATGGTGGCCGCCATCTTGAAGAACGGGAAGCGGAGTGCGTGCACGCGCGTGAACGGCGGCGGAACGGAGCACGTGGGCATTCATGAGTTCGTTGCGAGCTTTTGTTGCCTTTTCAAAAACGTGCTACTTTTGTCAGAGGGAGAATGCAATATATGGACCTTTTTCACACTTCTGGATTTCTCAGCAGCGGAAGTCGTCATAGTTAGGTTAACTTCAACAGCAGTGAATGGGAGAGTAGACCTACCACACATATATTTTTAGCGTTCCCATTTGCTCAAATAGCAAAAGAAAAACTCCACGATAGTGTTTTCGTGACTTTTAAAAAAGGAAAATAATTGAGAGAGACTGATAACGGCAGTCATAAGAGAGAACGATGTCAAATTTGCATCCCTCTCATAGACGCTGCATTAGAAACACCCTTGCATTAGCTAGTTTTTTATGCAAAGGTGATATAATACAACGTATGGTGTTGTAAATGTACATACATTTTAAATATAAATCAAAATAAAAAAATAAAAAAAAACCTTGATGATTTACGATAAAGATGACCGTTAAAGGGGTCATATGATGGTTTTTTAAAGATCATTATTTTGTGTATTTGGTGTAACAGAATATGTTGACATGCTTTAATGTTCAAAAAACACATTATTTTTCAAATACTGTACATTATTGTAGGTCCTCTATGCCCCGCCTCTCTCAAACGCTTCTCTTGCGACTACCTACGTTTTGCATTTCGGTTTTCTTGAAATTATCCACAGTTTTCTTTGTGGGAAGGATTTTCAGAACACTTACTGACATCTTCTGGACAGTAGATTTATTTTCACATAGATTGAAGTTGAACCAGTAGCCTAATTTTTTATTTTATTTTTTTTGTCCCAGGTATTGATTTCCATTTTCCACCTTTATACCTGTCGATGTAACCTTTTCAAAGAACCAGAAATAATAAATAAACAAATAAGCATCTTAAAAATATGTCATATTTCACAAATAAATGTTATTGTAGGCCTACTTGTTTACTTTCTAAAAACCCACAGGGCCACAAGTGGCCATATGAAGAAAACCCCATAGGCCTACTTACATTCAGCTTTGCCAACTGACTTGTCTGGATAAACTCCATCTTTACTGTAGTTATTTTGGTTGTTCCTATTGTATTTTGTAGTCATTTTGAAATGCATTTGTGATTTTTTTTATGTGCGTTTATCTGATGCATTTTCATTTTCAATTCAATCTTTGTATTGCTAAGTAGAAAAACTGAACTAAACCTTATGTTTTTAAGAAATGCACGACAGACAATGAAGACCGAATCTTCATTTTTGGGTGAACCATCTCTTTCAGCCTCAGAATAGCCATGGGATCGAGTGTCCAGTGTGCTTCTGGTAAGTCGTGCAGGACTCGAGCTGTTGAATATTGAGTTAACATAATGACAGCGGACACAACCTGACTGAACAAACACGCTGTAGTTGCTAGTGCTAGTTTCTGCTAGTGCTAGTTTCTGTCAAACATCCTCTTTGTAAACAGCGTTACACCCGAAGACAAATATTGGGATGATATGCAATTTCCTCGCTTTTTCTCAACATATATGATTGTTTTTAATAGCTGTCATTAATTGACATGTGTATATTTGATTATCGATGACAAATATTAATTCGATAAATGTGAAAACTTCTGTGCAGCCTTATATCTTAATGAAAATATGCTCCGTTTGGATGATTTGGTGGAATGCCTTTGAGGTTTTTCAAGGTTTTTCGCTGTTAGCATGTTGCAAGAATTCCTTTCATGGTGGCAGATCAAGTTCACAGTGACCACGAAAGAATTTGCTTTTCGCCCCCAGTGTGTACATTTACAATGTGACTCTGTATCCATGAACGGCGCTTACATGACAAAATCTCACCCTCTGCTGATCTGCTCCTTTGTTCCTGGTCATGCTTTCTGTTGAATAGGAAAACGCAGCGCGCTGTATATATTAGAGTGTTTGACATTCATTTAATAAGATATTAAAGAGTTTACAGTATGTTTTGGCAAAGCGAGAGGATTCCTCAGCTCAAATGACCATGTGTGAATTGAATTGAATTGAATTTAATGGGAATGGACTGAAATGACTGAAATGGCCTGACTGGGCCCGTGGGAGACAGTTGGCATGTGTTTCGACTGTATTTATGCATGTTGTGCCATGTAAAGAATTGTATTATGTTGAGAAAATATCGTAAAGGTCAAGTAGATTGATAATTTATGCTAAAACAATCTAGAAAAAGGGTGTGCAATATAAGTAGGGGTTCACAATGACAAGTATTTAACTTCAATTCATTTTCATTTGAATTCATTTGTACATCAAGCTGTATTAGCGCTGAATAACTCATATAAAAAATAAATGTCCTTTTTTTTTCTCTTTTTTTTTTTTGTGTGTGTGTGAAAGCTCTGCATTCTGTGTTGTTTATGTGATAAAGTATTGTAACCTTGAGTGAACCTGCTGTAACGTAAGACAAATTTCAGACTCACTCTGAAAATAAAGTGTATCGTATCGTATCGTACCGTATCAATTATGCTGTGATTACATCACATCACAATGCAGGAGAACAGTCAACTTTATGTAAGCCTATACCTACTTTTGTTGTCTGTTTTTTTCTCTTTCAATTATAGTATTTTTTCATGTCAAGGTTTGCATTGAAGTACTTTTTCTATATTATTATTCCTATATTTTTCAAACAGTCAAATAACGAGAGACGAATCATTGTCAAAGTCTGTTAATATTTCAAAATTAAGTCTGATGATTTTTTTTTACAATATACTAATTAATCAAATGAATTGCAGTGCATCTCATATGTCAATATTTGCTTTAGAAGTCAAAATATAGTTTCCATATTATTGAACATGAGCCACTGTAGTGTGCAGCAGTCTATTGTACAAATGCTTTGTATTTAGATGGTACTTTGCTTTAGGATTGATTTTACAATCTGGAGCCGATGATCAAAACCAGGGTTCATCATGATACCCAAACACATCAACAAAAATGTTTAATGATGAGCTTAAACTGATCAGTTTAACAGGCTGGAAAGATCAAATAGTCTGGTTAATGAATCTTCAGTGAAGTCCAGAACAGGGTTTTGTAGTTAAACAAACTCAAACTAAAACCATTTCAAGAAAGAAAGATTGACTGAATTCAAATAAAATATAAAACTGCATTTATTTTTTTTACTATTACTTGTCAACTCTACAAAAAAAAATAAACTAAAAATTACAAAAACACAAAATAAAATAACTAAAGCTTGAACTAAAATGAGAATGAAAATGGATATAAGAAAAATAAAATATGACTTAAAATATGAATAAAAACTACAATAATATCACATTGAAATCTAGGATTTAAAATCTAATTTAAGCTTTAATGTAAACAATTTTTTGGATTTTTCTTACTTCAGTTAAAGCACACGATGCTCTTTGATTTGCTCTTTCTGACACTGATATTCATTTTTAAGGCAACTTACAGTATTTTTTAAAACCAAGGCTGCATTTATTTGATTAACAGTAAAATTGTGAAATATTATTACAATAATAAAAATTTAATTTATTCCTGTGATGCAAAGCTGAATTTTCAGCATCATTACTCCAGTCTTCAGTGTCACACGATCCTTCAGAAATCATACTAATATGCTGATTTGCTGCTCATGAAACATTTCTGATTATTATCAATGTTGAAAACCATTGTGCTGCTTCATATTTTTGTTGAAACCGGATTCTTTCAGGATTCTTTGATGAATAGAAACCTCAAAAGAACACATTTTCACATCAAAACTCCTACAATTAAGTGCTTTTTATGTTCCTTCCCATGTATTGTGCAGGTGAGCAATCATTAAATAAGTAAAGGCTTAGGCTGGTAAAGCCTGATGTCATGTACTCTGTACTCAAGCCCTGGATGGGAGTCACACTGCGCAAATAAACTTTTGCTATATCCTCTACACACATCCTGTTTGGGCTCAACCACACCTACAAAACAGGCTGTTCTCAGATCAGCCTGACGCTCTCTCCGGTTCAGTGCTTTGAGTGAAGCAGTGGATGAGACGTCGGATGCCTTATCTTTGATGTACAGTATGTGATAATCTTGTCACCTTTATTTAGGTGGAATAGCTCATCAGTGAGAAACAATAGGACATGATCATGAGTTCATCAGTGCTAATAGGTTCACAGGCCAGGTTTTGTCTCACAAGTATCTTAAGGTAATAAGTTTTGAGCCCCACCCTCTCTTAGGACAGGTATATGTGTACACACGCGGGCTGACAGACAGCAGACTGCTGGAGATTACTTTAATCGAGCTTTGGAAACTGTACACTGACTCTAATTGTCAGTTTGGGGCACAAGACAGTGGAAAGGTAAATGCAAATATTTTATTCTTTTTTTTAATTAATTTGATTAGTTTTATTAAATCAGTATATGCAATTGTGTGTTAGATATATCATAAATAGTATTTAGTATTTGTAATGATCAAGCTTGCATGGGATTGAACCTACAGCCTTTACAAAAACAGGTCATGAGGCACTCCACCCTGCAGCGATCTGTAGTGTTTCTAATTAGGACTTGTGATATGATTCAATTTAACTCTTGTAACAGACTTATGAAAAATTATTTGTGCATATTTTCATCATATTTATGTTTAATAACTATTTTCGATGTCAATGCTGATATTTAGTTGCTGACTTGAAGCGACCATGGGAAACGAGCATTCAACTCAGAAAAAACATCAGGTGAATTGTTTTCTTTTTTAAATTATTTTATATTAACATAGCTTTATGCAACATCTATGTTTTTCAGTGAAATATACAAGAAAAATGTATAATTTATTTCCCAGCATTTAATTTTTTTCAGCATTTAGCAACATCATGAATACAGTTGTTAAAAGTACAAATATAATATTTAGTAATATTTTATAATATTTTGTTGTAGACGATAGTTTTCACTGTATAGCAACTAATTTTATGTCAGCTATGTGTTTGTTTTGGTAGATATTTGTGTATATTCTCCAGTCAGAAAAGGCAGATTATAAATGATTATGCATTATAAATTCATATAAATTATAATAATTCTCATTTTCCAATTTAATTATGTGATTAAAACCTTTATCACATTAAACTCATGTGATAGCTTTATGTTTACTGAGACAATTAAACCAGGGTTATTTTAATTAACTAAACTAAAACCATAAAAATCACTAAAACTTAAAAACTAAAAAATCTTAAACTTATTTTATGTTAGCTAGTTTCCAAAGCAACATTTTATTTAAGTTAATTTATTTTAATTTAATTTCATTGAAATAAAATTCCAAATTCAAAAATTCAAACTAAAACTAAATTAAGAAAAACTATACAGACATGTAAAAAAAAAAAAAAAACATACAACAAAATTACCAAAACTTTAACTAAAATTAAAATGAAAAATACTAAAATAAAAACTAAAATATACACCATAATAGAATCTCAATGAAACTAAAATAAGGTAAAAGAACAACAGATCATGAAACTAACTAATATCATTCACCAGGCAAATGCTGAGAAAAAAGTCCAAAATGGAGAGCTGAATGGACATGCAGTACCAGCTCCAGATGAAACTGAACCTGGTATGTATCTGAAATACAGCACATTTCTGTTTATGTGACTAAATGTATCGTCCCTAGTAATTTCAACGTAAGGATCTACAGGAGTTACTTAAAGTTAAACTGGCAGGCATTTACATTGTTTGGATTAACTCAGCAAGTCAACCCACAATCAAGAACATGACTCAAAGCTCTGTATAAACTTTGGGTGTTGTAGTCACATGCATGGTGGATAAAGCAATGTTTAATTTGCATTTTGTGTGCATTGCTAGTTTATTGTTGCTAACACTTTCACAAAGCCTTTATAGAAGTGAAATGCAGTACATGTTCCATGCTCCTTGAATGCAAAATGTTAGTGATATGTATAGAATGCAGATGCATGCATTTGTTCATGCACATTTTATGAGAGAATGAAAGCTGTACAATACACATAGAAATAGGCCAGAAACCCACTTTAAGCAAGCATGCAAACGCGTTTGTCTTGTTGAATATAGTTGTGCTCTTGCATTATTTTGTCTGTAACCTCAAATGTCCTTTGAAATGTCAAGTGTGTATAAGAAGTGGGTGTGTATTATGATTTATGACTGGTCAAAATGATTGAAGGCAATAGATATTATTGTCCCTGTACACTGCATACATAATTTCTTTCATGTTTTTGGTCTAGAGACAAGCAAAAAAGAAGCAGTGGAGCAAAAGAGTGAAACCCCACCAGCGCCTATCACAAATGAACCAAAACCACCAGAAAAAGAGGAGGTAGACAGCAGTAAAGCCAACGGACCCGCGCATGTGGAAACGACCCCTGAGCAAAAACCGACAGTCGCAACAGATGCAGAACCACCCAAAAATGCCCCAAAGCCCAGTGGAGATGAGGTGTCCAACTTCCTTGGTAAAATGTTCAAAAAGAAGAGCGAACCTGTGAAACCTGCAGCAGAAAACAACGATTCAGTTGACACACCGGCCAAAGCGGTGGATCTGAATATCGACATGCAGACTGTAAGTAGAAGTTGCAAAAATGAAAATTTACTCTCCCTCAGATGTAGATGAGTTTGTTTCGTCATCCGAACAGGAGAAATGTAGCATTGCATCACTTACTCACCAATGGATCCTCTGCAGTGAATGGGTGCCGTCAGAATGAGAGTCCAAACAGCTGATAAAAACATCACAATAATCCACACCACTCCAGTCCATCAGTTAACATCTTATGAAGTGAAAAGCTGCATGTTTGTAAGAAACAAATCCATCTAGATTTTTTAAATTGTTGCTCCTCTATCCATAATAATGCTTTCTCCAGTGAAAAAGATTTCTTTTCTGAATCAGGAGAGAAATATGTACAGATCGAGCATAGTTTACAAGCCAAATCAGTCCAAAAAGTCTAAATATGTGGGTGGATTTTGACAGCGGATGGAGAAAGCGTTATTATGGATTATGAACTCATATTTTGGCCAGAAGCAATGGTTTGAAGTTAAAAAGCCTGGATTTGGATTTGTTTCTTACAAAAATGCAGCTTTTCTCTTCACAAGATGTTAACTGATGGACTGGAGTGGTGTGGATTATTGTGATGTTTTTATCAGCTGTTTGGACTCTCATTCTGACGGCACCCATTCACTGCAGAGGATCCATTGGTCAGCAAGTGATGTAATGCTACATTTCTCCAAATCTGTTCTGATGAAGAAACAAACTCATCTAAATCTTGGATGGCCTGAGACTGAATAAATTTTCAACAAATTTTCATTTTTGAACTCTTTCCCCAGTCACCAGATTTCTCTGGTAGCCTCGTCTACAGTGAAACGTGGCTTTATTTTAAACATCAAATATTAATAATTAGCTATGATTTGTCAAATTGCACAGCATTTTTGCTATTATTAGTGTGGACAGAAACAGTATTTGACATTGGAAAATGTATAATGTAAAAAAGCTTGAAGCACATTCATCATAAACCAAGAATGCTTTAGTATGTTTAGCTGATGGTTATGGATACCTGAAGTTTTCTGCCGGGCATCTACCAGGTAACAACAAATCCAAGTAAATCGCAAAAAATGTATTGCACTCTGACTCTGACCAATTTCTCATTCCAAAAGGATAAAGTCTTCATTAATTCAGAACAAAAGGAGATTCTTGAGCAAGTCGCAGAGAAGATCAAATTGCAATTGGTTGATGCCATTCCCGCGCAACCCATAAGTTCAAGTTTTTTGACAAAGAATTCCTCAAACCCAGATTTGCATGCTACACAAGAACCAGTAGCTGTTGTGGAAGAACCAATAACTGAAGAGCCAGTTAAAAGAAAAGCCAGCGAGATACATATAGGATATCTGAAGTCTGAAGATCCAGAACCTAAGACTGAGGAGGATGACAAGGCCTTGAAAGAAGACAAAGAACTTATACAACTTGTTGAAAGCATAATATCGGATGAAAAGAAACAAGCATGTGAGAACGAACCAAATGGAACCAAACATATGAATGAGGAGCTTGCACCTATTTCCAAAAACCTGACGAAAGTAGCTGATGAAGCAGTTGGTACCATTGAGGTCTTGTCTCATGTTGAGGAACCAGTCGTTGGAGCTGAAGAGCCATTGCTAGTTGCTGAAGAAATTGCAGATATTGTTGAGGAAATCTTGCAGATCACTCAGGAACAAGAAAGCCTTGATGCAGAAGAGTCAGAAGAACTTCAAAGGAACAAGTTCAAGGAGACACCATTAACAACATCAGAGGAACCATTAACATCATCTGTGAAACCAGCGCTGATTGCCAAAGAAGAAGCAGCTAATGGATCGGTGGCTGTAGATGAGGAAAGCTGGGAGATCATTGAGGAGCCAGTGAACATCTCGGGGCGTTTAGAAGAACCTGCGCTCACTAAAAGTAAATGTGATTCAGCAGATTCTTCTCAATTGCTTTCCCAGCTGAGGTCCGTGTGCACTAAGGTTTTAGAAGATGCTTCATATCAGGCGTTCAGTGTCAATGTATGTGCTGATGAAAGCACTGTTCACATCACGATTGAGCTTCGCCCGGATGAGCTCACATGTCTGAATAAGGTCAGTTACAATACCGACGAGAAAGCCACAGCATGGACGAACTCACCGCATGCCATTCAATCAAGATGCAAATGTACTAGCTCCTTTCCTCAAGATGCTTGTCATCAATTAACAAAAAATTAACATCAACGATCAGACTTGTTCCTGAAGATGACATCGAAACGTACTACAATCAAAACCCATAAATGTGTTGTCTCTATTTACTGTACACTACCAGTCAAAAGTTTGAAATAATTAAGATTTACTTATGTTTTTGAAAGAAACCAAAAACACAGTGAAAACAATTTAAAATAACTGTTTTGTGTTTGAATATATTTCATTTTTCATTCTAATATGCTAATTTGGTGCTTAATTATTGTCAATTATTATTGGTGCTCAATTATTAATAATACATTATTATCAATGTCGAAAATGATTTTTGCTGCCTAATGTTTGTATGGAAACAAAAATACAAGATATTTTGATGATTATAAAGTTCAATGAACAGAATTTATTTGAAATAAAAAAAAATCCTTGTAACATTATAAATGTCTTTACTGTCAACTTTGATCAATATTCTGTGGCCTTTCTAAATTAGTATTAATTATTATTCATATTATTTAAAATGTTACTTACCCCAAACTTTTGAATGGTATATATAAAACATATATATAAAATGTGTAATGGTCTCCACAAAAATATTAAGCCGCAAAAACTTTTCAACATTGATAATAACAGGAAATTGCATCATATATATATATATATATATATATATATATAAAAAGTATGTCACAGTTAGGGATGTAACGATTCACTCAACTCACGATTCGATTCACGATTTTGATTTCACGATTCAATTCGATTTGATTCACGATTTTATTTTATTTTTTACAAAATGAGATTTAAGACAAATTATAAATTAAACGTGCATGTCCTTTTATTATTGCTTGGACAAAATGCTGCACATTTTTTGTGAAATTGAAATATAACACTATAATAATATACTAATAT